CCACATTTCAAAAAATCCAGAAATATTCATTTAGGGATAACAGAAAAAACAATTCCAGAACTCCATGCAATATTATTAGATGCAAATAGGAGATAAAAAAAGGGCCGGGTGTGGTGGCTCAAGCCTGTAATCCCAGCATTTTGGGAGGCTGAGGCGGGAAGATCACAAGGTCAGGAGAGCGAGATCATCGTGGCTAACATGGTGATATCCCGTCTCTACTAAAAATACAAAAAATTAGCCGGGTGTGGTGGCAGGTGCCGGTAATCCCAGCTACTCAGGAGGCTGAGGCAGGAGAATCACTTGAACCCGGGAGGCAGAGGTTGCAGTGAGCCAAGATTGTGCCACTGCACTCCAGCCTGGGTGAAAGAGCGAGACTCCGTCTCAAAAAAAAAAAAAAAAAAAAAAAAAAAAAAAAAAAAAAAAAGAGATAAAGAAGGTTATCTATTCGATCTTTAATTAATAGATCTTTTGGCTTGATAATTAAATCCATCAGAGAAAAAAAGAAGCAAACTACTTACCGCTGCACAAATTGCGTGTTTCAGGAGTCGAAATATCATTTTGTTTGTATGAGATAACCAAGCCCTCTGTATTATTTGAGCTGAAATGTCTTTAAGCATTCTGAGAGAAAAAAAGAGGTTAATATTTATAAAGTAGTTTTCATTTTCCTAAAACCTTAGAGAACTATCAATTTATGCTTCCTCCTCCTGTACCTCCCCATCCTCCACTCTAAGACTGACCTAATGAGGAACATTTGGATGTGGTAATTGGAAGTGGTCATTTGCAGAACCCACTCAGAATGAGGATATGAAATACTTGAGGAGATTTCCCCTGAGATTTAAAAAAAAAAGTCCTGGCTAAAACTTTATCATCAAAAGGCATATAAAATATAAATGTATCATTAAGAGGCATATATATTATAAATAAAAAGTGTGAGGAGACAAGCTCACTTCCCAAAAACATTCACGACCTGAAATGAAACGTACAACTAGTTCAAGTGCTATGAAAATGGAATGGGGAATAGTCAAAGTTACAGGAGGCCCAGTTCTCTTCTGGGGATGGACGACTACGCCCTAGAAAAAGAAACTTCCTTCTCTGATCTTTGCTTGAACCAGGCTCATCCAGGTCAAGTCAGAATTATTCTACTTTTGGTCATATCCCAGCACTGGCAGGTTGTAGGGGTCTCCTCCTTCATACCTTCTCACTCCGTCATTACCCCTTACAGTGCTATGTACAAAGACAGGTACTCCTGCATAATGCTACCCATTGGCTGGCAAAATGCAAGCTACAAGATATAAAGAAGAAAAGGCTAGGCCAGGTGCAGTGGCTCACGCCTGTAATCTCAGCACTTTGGGAGGCCGAGGCGGGAGGGATCACCTGAGGCCAGGAGATCGAGACCAGCCTGGCCAACATGGTGAAACCCCGTCTCTACTAAAAATATAAAAATTGACATGCATGGTGGTGCACGCCTGTAATCTCAGCTACTCGGGAGGCTGAGGCAGGAGAATTGCTTGAATCCGGCAGATGGAGGTTGCAGCGAGCCGAGATCGCACCACTGCACTCCAGCCTGGGCGACACAGCGAGACTCCATCTCAAAAAAAAGGAAAAAGCCTGAAGTATGGAGACAAACCTTTGAATCCTATCTGATGCCATTTATTAGCTGTTAACTTTCTTCAAGCCACTTACCTTCTCCCGGTTGCTACTATTTCATTTATAAAATATAAAAATTGTTTCACAAGGTTGTATCAGGATCGAGTAGATGTGTGTTAATATGCCTTGTAAATTAGAAAATGCAATTATAATTATTCAATTTGAAAGTAATTTTAAAACACAAAATCTCTGATTTACAAAACAAGAAGCATTTGAAATTATCTGGATAAGTACTGTTTGGAAACTGTACAGTTGTGGAAAATAACACAAGGCAAAATACGGGTACTTACGATAGTAATGATCTTGAATTTGGTGCATTTGCGAAACGTACTCTGCGAACTTTTCCTAAGGATTTTGTACCTGATTTCAGAATACCTTTACCTGGTACATTTGAGGAACGGTTCATTTTCCCTCCAATGAAGTAATCTGAAAGTACATAAATTAAGCCTTTGAGGTCATAATTTATACTATTACACTGTTTGGACAAGACTCAAGTGCCTTATGATTGTTGTACTAATTCTGAATCCTTTAAAAAAGAAGGCATTGGGGCCGGGCGCGGTGGCTCAAGCCTGTAATCCCAGCACTTTGGGAGGCCGAGACGGGCGGATCACGAGGTCGGGAGATCGAGACCATCCTGGCTAACACAGTGAAACCCCGTCTCTACTAAAAAAAATACAAAAAACTAGCCGGGCGAGGTGGCGGGCGCCTGTAGTCCCAGCTACTCGGGAGGCTGAGGCAGGAGAATGGCGTGAACCCGGGAGGCGGAGCTTGCAGTGAGCTGAGATCCGGCCACTGCACTCCAGCCTGGGCGACAGAGCGAGACTCCGTCTCAAAAAAAAAAAAGAAGGCATTGGGGATCTCTTAAAGTTGCTTACAGTTTACATTGTGTACTAAAAATATTATATGGTATATGGAAAAGACAAATAAATCTATCCACAGCCTTATAACTGGTCTGTCTCCAGTCTTTTTCTCCTCTTATTCATCTTCCACACTACACCCGGAGTTAACTTTTTAACTCAATAATTCAATCTCATCACTCCCCAGCTGTCTACCAACAAGCTCATTGAGGGCAGGAGGCATCTTGTTGACTATGGAGTCCTCAGTGCCTAGCACAGCGGAGAGTTTTTACATGTTTGTCTAAAAACGTTTTGTCCCAGTTTTATCATCAAATAGCAGTGAGACTTTGAGCAAGTCACTTAACCTCTCAGTGGTTCAGTTCCCTCCTTGGTAAAGTGAGAGGGTATACACTAAATTTCTGATTCCACCTCCAACTTTCTATTCTTTAAAGCATCCAATCTGGATGCAGTAATACTCCAATTTGGATGCAGCTCCCAAATTCTTAGTCACTGCTTGGTCTTTGTTACTAAACCAGGGGCTCGTTATCATTTCTTTTGGTGCCATGGACCCCCTAGGGACAGATCTCTTTAAAACGCATAACATGGCCGGGCGCGGTGGCTCACTCCTGTAATCCCAGCACTTTGGGAGGCCGAGACGGGCGGATCACGAGGTCAGGAGATCGAGACCACCCTGGCTAACACGGTGAAACCCCCGTCTGTACTAAAAATACAAAAACTAGCTGGGCGGGGTGGCGGGCGCCTGTAGTCTCAGCTACATGGGAGGCTGAGGCAGGAGAATGCCGTGAACCCGGGAGGCGGAGCTTGCAGTGAGTGGAGATCGTGCCACTGCACTCCAGCCTGGGCGACAGAGTGAGACTCCGTCTCAAAAAAACAAAAAACAAAACAAAAAAAACCGCATAACATACATAGGATTACAAAGTGTTCCAATTATACTGAAATCATTAAAATATTTTTTAAAACAAAATTATAGTAAATGTGTCTTAATGCATTAAATGAGCTCTAATGACTACTGTATTTTTGAAGCAGTAATGAGCGTAAATATTTCAAGATCTCTGACACGACTGCAATGTAACATGAAAATATCTGTGCTTTCTATTGATGACAAAGTCATCAATGCTAATACTACTGTGGCTTGTTGTCTACACTATAATTGAAAGAAACAAAGTTCAGTTAGAGGTTAGTGAAAATGAAGTTGTCATTTTTTCCCCCATACAAGTTCGCACACCCCATGAATTAAGACCTTCTGCCCTAATTTATCAATATGTTTCACACTTTTACGTATGTGTGATGTTACACTGCTGATGCAGAGAGCCTTCTGAGTCTATTCAATATTTCTCCTTGGGGATGCCTTGGAATATACAATCCTCTTAAGAAAGAGAAAAGCAGCCCTTAACATCTGGGAGTTGGCTGGCAGTCACAGCTGGGCCTTGGTGTTACCACTGCTTCCTAACAACACCCGATCCAGAGCAAAGCTCCTGCTTCCTTGAACGTACCCCAAAATCACCGAACCAAAGCCCAAATCCTATAATAAATCTAACTCTTTTACTGAAATATGCCACTGTGTTCCTACATGTGCGTTCTCCTTGGAGCAATGAGAAACCCATTTTCTTCAACTACAGGTGTGCCCCTAGTGGTCTTTGGCTGGTGGGCAGTGGCACATCACTGCACAAATTCCAAATTTTTCCAGATGCCCGCCCGGATAGGGCTTACACTTTTTATAGGATTAGGGCAGAAATACAGAATGAAATAGGAAATACATCCTCATTATGAGACAGTGAAACAATTGTTTTGGCTAGAACACAGGTTTCAAAGGCAGACTAATGGGTTTGGATCCTAGCTTCCCACTTTCTGTGTGGTCTCGTACAAATTACTTCTATGTGCCTCAGTTTCTTCATGTATGTATTGGGAATAATAACCATGCCCACCTACTTCCGTCGTTGGAAAGATTAGATAAATGTGAATAAAGAACTTAGATCATGACTGCGCATATCAAAGTGCTGTATCAGTGCTTGTTACTCTTGTTAATAAGATAATTATTGCCATTATCATTTACTTCTACAAGTATTAAGGGACAAACATTTGATTCCCAGAGAGGAGGCTTACCGCTTGTTTCTTAAAGGGAAAAAATAAGGTCAGAGCCTTTTCCGATTAAAGGACACAGCATATTAGTTTAAATTTAAAACCTGAGAAACCTCCAGTCCACGGTTAAAACCTTTCGTAAGATAAATCCAGGCCGCCAACCGGCGGCTTCCGGCTGCGAGGCTTTCGAAGTCGCCCGAGACCCTCCAAGCGCCCCCTCCCGGCAGCCTCTGCTCACAGAAATCCCAGTCCACGCCGCTGGGCGCCCGGTCGCCGCGGCAAAGACAGTTTCCCAGCGCCGCGCGACGCCAGGCACCTCCCTCCTCGCGCCTCCGCGTACCACCCACACAGAGCCGGCGCTTTCTTGCCGCCTAGCAACCGCCGGCGCAGGGGCGGAGCCTCTTGGAGGGCGGGGTTTGCGTTCATCCGCCGCCCGGGCGCGACGCGCTGCAGCTCAGCGACGCGGCTTCTAGAACGGGGTGATTGAACTAAGCCTTCGCCGCACCGAGTTTGCAGTACGGCCGTTACCCGCACCGCGGCCCGCTTGCGGTTGGAGAAATCAAGGCCCTACCGGGCCTCCGTAGTCACCTCTCTGTAGTGGGCGTGGCCGAGGCCGGGGTGACCCTGCCGGAGCCACCGCTGTTAGCGACATGTTCAAGGTGAGAGCGTGGAGCCGGGTCACAGCTGTCACCGCCCCCTCCCGGCTGCCCGAGCCCTCCCCGCGCTCTCTTGGGGCCTCTCCGCAGGCCAGGCCCGAGGCTTTTCCCGCCACTGGGCCGGCTGCGTCCCGGCCCCGCGGTTCATTCACTGGTCTACTGTGGATGAGCGGCTGCCGGGCGGAGGCGAGAGACCCCCGGGTGGGTGGGGGGCGGCCCTTTGGGTTGTGCTTTCGTGAATTAAACACTTTGAAAATGTAAAGTGCCTTCCCCCAAAGTACCCATCCCTTCGGCTGGTGCCCTCTTGGGATCGTGGGTAGGGGGAGGCCAGCTCAGGGCACTGCGGGGTTCGCGGCTTTAGTTGCCTGGCAGGGTCAGGTTTCAGAACCTGATGTGTGGATGGGGGAGGGTCATTTTAGGAGAAGCTGTGCAGGGTATGGGGGAGGCTGGGGTGGGATGGCTGGGTGACGACGAAAGCTGGAGCTTTGCTCCACTCCCCAGGGAACATTATTTAATACGGACCAGTGGACCCCCTTCCCTGCGTTTTGTGAACTCGTGTCCTTTGGGAAAAAAATAGACTTTTACAATGAAGACTTAATTTCGAAAATCTGCACTGTAGTATAAAGCCATTATTCTACTTTTTAAAAAGTAAATTATATGTATTTTGTCATAAAAAATCACAGGCTACCAGAAATTAATCTACAAAATTGAGTCTTCAAGAAGCATAGTACCCATAAAATAGTGCTAATGAAATCTCAGAATTGTAGTATTCATTTAAAAGTTTTGTTGAGCTCTGCAATGTGCTTTGGGTACGTTAATAAAGGCTGTAAAATCAGAACATGCATTCTGCCTTCTAGTCCTGGCATTGCCACTTTCTAGCTGTGTGACCTTGGGCAAGTCACTTACCTTCTCTGTGCCTATCTTCTTTTTTGGTGAAATTGGTGTAAAAACATCTACCTCATAGGGTTGTTATAAGGAGTAAGTAAGTTGGTATGTGTAAAGCACTTGGAAAAGGCCTAGTATTTGCTCTTACTCTGTTTTCAGGCAGCTCACAGTTTAGTCAGGAAGACAGATCCTATAATCAACATTCATTTGATAAATTTGTGTATTAAACACCTGTTATGTGCTAGGAGCTCAGCTCCATTTCAGGGTTACGACAAGGAAAGATATGCTGTGGCCAGTTTAACTATATGTGTACCAACACTGTAGTAAGGTAGTGAAAAGGAGAGCAGGATCCACTTGGCTTAACCAGGGGTTCCTAACCTGGGGCCCTCAGCTCCTCAAAGGACCTGCACATAAATTTCAGGGGGTCCCTGAACTCTGATGGGGAAAAAATATAACTATTTTTAGCAATCTCCAATTGGAATTGAGCACTTCCTTTAGTTATGGGTAATGTTTCAATTATCTATTGTTGGGTAACAAATCACTGCAAACCAGTGCCTTAAAACAAGAATTGTTTCTCAAAATCTATGGGTTGGCTGGGTAGTTCTGCTGGTGGCTTGACTGAAAGTTGGCCTCACTCGCATGTCTGGGGGCTTGGCGCCCCTCCGTGTGCCTAGCTTGGACTTCCTCACTTGGTTACTGACTTCCAAGAGGGCAAGTCCCAAGGCACAAACACAGCATCATGTTTGCTGATGTCAAAACAAGTCACGCAGCCAAGTCCAGAGTTGATACAGTGGGGAACTACACAAGGTCATAGACATGAGTTGGTGCACTTCACTGGGGCCATTCATTTTACAAGCTCCTACCTTAACAAACCACAGTAGTATTAGCAGTACCTGTTACCAGTGGAAGTCACAGTATCAGCATAAGTCACAGACATTTTCATATCACATTACAGTTGTTGCAGATCTCAAAATATCATTTATGCTCATTACTACTTCAGAACTATGGTAGTTAATAAGACTCACTGCTAGATCTTTTTGTTTAGTGGGCTAGTAAAGAAGCACATACTGTTTATATCAGATATTTGTGTTTAAAAAATAAGATTATTTCAATATAGTTGGCACTTTTTTGTATGCAATTAGAGGCATCATTTTGAGAAGGGGTCTATAGGTCTCACCGACGGCCAAAGAGGTCCATGGCACAACAAAAGGTAAAGAACCCCTGGGGACTTCAGAGAAGGCTTCACAGACGGGACACTTAAATTTAGTTTTGAGACAGGTAGGAGTTCTTCAGGTAAATGAGCGGGGGAACATCAGTGGTATTCCATTGGGGGAAGTGCTGGAAACTCAGTTTTGATGTGTCAAGGGAAAGATACAGTGAGCTGAGATGATTATTATTGTTATCATTATTTTTTTCAGACAGAGTCTGGCCCTGTTGCCCGGGCTGGAGTGCAGTGGTGCGATCTCGGCTCACTGCAACCTCCGCCTCCCGGGTTCAAGTGATTCTCCTGTCTCAGCCTCCCCAGTAGCTAGGATTACAGGCGCCTGCCACCACACCCAGCTAATTTTTTTGCATTTTTAGTAAAGATGGGGTTTCACCATGTTGGCCAGGCTGGTCTCGATCTCCAAACTCCTGATCTCGTGATTCGCCCGCCTCAGCCTCCCAAAGTGTTGGGATTACAGGTGTGACCCACCGCGCCTGACTGAACTGAGATTATTTCAGGTGAACATGCACTTTGGGTAGAAAAGTAGAAAGATCACAACAAACCTTGGAGGACACCAAAATATAAGGAGTAGGCAGAGGAAAGGGGGAGGCCAGACTTGAGAAGTAGCAGTAGGAGCAGAAAAGAGTGATGTTTAGAAAATCGAGAGAGAAAAGTTTCAAGGAAAAATGGCTATATTAGGATACTTTCAGCTGGGAAAACCCAATTGCTTAAATAGTAAGGAAAATTCTCTCACAAAGTCCAGAGGAAGAATGGATTCCAGGTTCTGATTCGGTTGGTCAACAGTGTCATCAAGGACCCATCTCTTCTTGGCTTTCCACAGTCAGGTTGGTTTCCTTTAGGGTTGCAAAATGACTATCAGTAGCATACACACTTTCTCATTCTCTAGAGCAAGAGGAGGAGAGAGAAAAAACTCCCACAATTGGTCCTTCAGTCTGATTGGACCAACTTAGGTCAGTTGTCTGACCCTATAACAGTTGTCAGAGGAATGACATGATCTTATTGGCTTAGACTAAACAGGATCAACCCAGGGTGGTATCACTTAATCACAGGGGAGAGGAATGCATTCATGAACACAATGGAGTTCTTTTAGGAAGGAAGAGGGAGAATAGAGATTGGATATGCAACCAACAATGTCCATGACGGAGATATAAGCTAGATGAGATATGAGTTAGTTAGATATCATGAGGTGTGTTCGTTTGGGCACTTTGGAAAGCTTTCATGATCCTTAAACTTTAGGTTTATTGATTGAAGTGAAGGGTAGATTAACCTGGGTTGGTGACTGAGGGCTGAGTAAATGGACACTATGGTGGTTGATAAGCTTGACTGTCAAGGAAAGGAGAGAGAATTTGGTAACTAGAAGGATATGTTCAGTCAAGATTCTAGAGAGAATACCTCAGCTTTGCAAGGAAGAGAGATTCCCACCCGACAGATGGAAGGAAAAGAAAGGTGCGAGGGATTGTAGACCAGTGGTTCTCTATAGAATGGTACGACTATACAGAATGGTACATTTTGGAAACTTGTGGGATTGTTCTTTTTTTTTCTTTTTGAGACGGAGTCTCACTCTGTTGCCTAGGCTGGAGTGCAGTGGTGCGATCTTGGCTCACTGCAACCTCCACATCCCGGGTTCACGCCATTCTCCTGCCTCAGCTTCCCGAGTAGCTGGGACTATAGGCGTCCGCCACCACGCCCGGCTAATTTTTTGTATTTTTAGTAGAGATGGGGTTTCACTGTGTTAGCCAGGATAGTCTCGATCTCCTGACCTCATGATCCGCCCGCCTCAGCCTCCCAAAGTGCTGGGATTACAGGCGTGAGCCACTGTGCCCAGCCCTCTTTTTTTTTTTTTTTAAACGTTACAAAAATTATAGCTGAAAATGGGGTTGTTCTTTATGTCTTTAGTTGTGTTGAACATTTACATACTGAAATATAATTCACATAAATCTTTCCTTTTTATTCACCTTTATGCTACCATCATACTATACTGATTTACATTTTGGACTTATGCATGTAACTTAGTGATGAATTTTATTTCAGGATACCAAAAGAGTGTCACAAAATATTTGTCATAAAATGGTGATGTTAGGTCTAGTAGTTGAGAACCAGTGCTTGTCAAACTTTAACGGGCATGTGACTCTTGTTAAAATGGATTCCAATTCAGTAGGTCTGGTATGTGGCCTCAGATTCTCCATTTTTTTTTTTTTCCGAGATGGAATCTCGCTCTATCACCCAGGCGGGAGTGCAGTGGTGCAGTTTCTGCTCACTGCAACCTCTGCCTCCCGGTTCAAGCAATTCTCCTGCCTCAACCTCCTGAGTAGCTGGGATTGACAGGCACACGCCATCATGTCTGGCTAATTTTTTGTATTTTTAGTAGAGACGAGGTTTCACCAGGCTGGCCAGGCTGGTCTCAAACTCCTGACCTTGTGATCTGCCTGCCTCGGCCTCCCACCATGCTGGGATTACAGACGTGAGCCACCGCACCAGGCCAGATTCTCCATTTTTTGACTAGCTCCGGGTTCTGTAGTTTTCGTTGGTCCCCTTTGAATAGCAAGAATGGAGGCAAATCAGTAGATGAATGGTTCTTGTGTTTTCAAGATGGATGGTTTTATGAACGTGGTGGGATTTGGGACTGGCACTGACCAAGGAACAAAAAGATAGGCCAGACCCTTTGAGGGCTCTACTGAGAGCGCTCCTCCTGCATGTTTGTGCAGACTGGGGGTGGAGTGAACGGTAGGATCGATCGGGATTTGGGAGTTAACAGCTTGGGTCAACTATAACTGGAGGGCAAAGGAGTTAATAGTATAGGTGTTGGTAGTAAAAGTACAATGGTGGTACAAGTACAATGTGTCTGACTAGTTATGTGCATATTAAGTACACACTGTACTTAAAATATATACTG